ACCTCTGTGACCCCGCCCATTCCCTGGAGGGCTGGTGGACTCTACCAGTGTCTCTGGCAGTCATTGCCAAAGCCTTCTGAAAACCCACGCTGCTCTGACTTAGCTAGACCTTTGATGGAGGTTTCTGACTTTGTAATTCACACGTAGGCCCTTGAATGCGTCAAGTCTTAATTTCTTTTGCAACTGAAATTTTGGCTCTTGTGTTTGCTTTGCTTACCAGGCAGTCACTAAAGCACAAAGCTTTCTATTTCAGTAGCTCAGGCTTTGTTTGAGTTATTTGTATTGTAGCTCATGGATTCTTTCCCACAACCTTGGTTTAATCCAGGCCCCAGAGGTGTACTGCATTCACATTTCCTTCAAGTAGTATAACCAAAACAGCTCACAGATAACCAAGAAAGAATTAAATCTGAAAGTGTTAGGGAAAGAGGGGCAGAACAGAGAGGAGGCAGAAATACAAATCTACAGCCAGACCAAATTTATCCAGAGAAAATAAATCTGCAGAGGTGACCAACTGCCACCATGCTCACGGACCAAACACACAGCAGAGGCCCCAACCCCAGCAGGCTGGACCTTTCTATATCTTAGGGGAGCTAGGGGTGGGAGTCAGGGCAGTAGGTGGAGTTGAGCTTCTCCATACTGGTTCTTCCTGTTTGGCCCACTGGCTTCCAAACCTGAGGAAGAATGCAAGGGGTGGGGTGGGGAATAATACAGGGTGTGAGAAGAAACTGATCTCTTGAAAGAAGGCAGGGAATCAAGAACCTGAAATGGCTGAGGCTTCTGTCCTTGTCCCATTAGTCCTGACTCTGAGTATAGATAAGGAGATGGCCTGCCAAATTCTTTCTGGCTACTTCCTGCCAATATGGGGTGTAGATGTGGGATGAGGATCTGTACTCTGGATCACATCATTCCTGCAAGAAACTTTGGAATAAGTTAATTACACTTGGCAGAAATAGCACTATGATTATGAGGATAAGAGGAGATATTAGAGACATTGATATTAGGAGATATTAGAGCCTAGGGAGGACATGATGGCCAAAGTGGGGAAGACAAAGAGGAAAATCCCAAAGCAAGAGTCCTGTCCAGTTAGCAGGAAGACAGGTGTATGCATGGATGCTACCGGGAAAGAACACTCCCATTTTGTTTAGTGTGTACGTGCTGGCAAGGAGCTGTGGGATGGAGTCAGTCCGGCCTGTTTCTAGTCCTGGGCTCCCTCGTTTCCTCCCTCTGCTTATGGAAACCCTGGCTGCTGTCAGGGGTTTGGGCGAGGATGAAGCTGAGTTCTTCAGGCTGAGTAGGGGCAGAGTAGGGACCCATGGTCCAGACAGGGTCCCAGCAGGTAGCCTCTTGAGGGGGCTGCAGCACCAGCTCACAGAAATGGTCTCTGTTCAAGGTTTCAAGTGCATGGCCAACTAGAATTGTATTACCTGGAATAAATGAATCAAACAGGCAGATTAAATACACGGAGTCCAAAACAAAGGACAGTCATTAGATCATCTAAGAGAGGTGCTGTCCAGGCCAGGAGGGAGTTTTCCCATTGCTAGACAAAGAGAAACTGACAGAAGAAAAAAGGTAAAGTCATAAAGGAAGGTCAAGGTTGACTCTTCTAACACACCTATTTTTTTAGACAAAGAAAAGCTTGAAGATTGCTCAAGCAACTTGACCAAATGCACATCAATAGACTGTATTATCTGGAACCATGGCCTGCTGCTTCCAGCCCCACCTGGTTCCTGGGAAGACAGGGAGTGCTTTGGTAAGGAGAGCCAAGGCAAACCCTGCCCAACTAGCATACTGCTTAGGGTTCGCTTCAGTTGGCCTGTAACAGAAAGTGAATGTGTGGCAGTGTTCTGAACAAATATCTACCTACATATCTATATTATGCAAGTTTTTTATGAAAAAGAAGTCACAAGGTAAACAGTCCCTGAATGGCTTGGAACCTCTAGAGTGTCATCGAGTAATCTGGGCTGCTCCTAGATTCGCCACGAACCTTCTGCAAAAGGTGTCCACAGCCCTTCCATCGTCGGGTTGGATTTCCAACACCGCATCCATGTTTCAGGCAGGAAGATGGAGATGAGCAACAGGCATTTATGCCGCTGAGTGAGTCCCTCTTGGAGGAGAACTCTTCAGAATTCCCCCATTCTATGCCTTCTGTCTACATCTCATTGCCTAGATGTGTGCTCTCTGATTATTTTCAGCTTCAGAAGAGGTAGGTCCATGAGCGCCCTGGAGAAAACTGGTGTTCTGTGAATAAGGAAGAAGAGGAAAAATCCAATAGGCAGTAAGCAGTCTCCCCACACTGGGGAAGGTTTGCTGTCGGTGCCAACAGGGAGAAATATACCTGGGGAGAAACATGGGGAAGAAGAGCCAAGTGTAGTGGGAAGCCCTCCTTTCACATAATCCCCTGGCAGCCTTTCAAACAGTTGATTGCTCGCTCCCTCTTAAGCACCTGTAAGGGAAAGGGGAGCAGGACAGAGAGAAGACAGGATACGAACTCAAAGCCAAGACAAATTTATTCAAGAAGAAAAATAAATTTGCAGAAGTGGCCAGCTGTCAGTGTACACAGAGATGGAACACGTGGCAGAGGGCACGGTCGTCCTGCGGGCTGGGTAGGTCTTGTACATCTTAGTGGGAGCTAAGGGCCCAGAGGGAGGATGGGGGCAGTCATCGCTGGTGAATTTCTCCATGCAGGTTTTCTCGGGCTTTCACACTTGGAAAAGAATGCAGGGAGTGAGATGGGCTGAGCTGGTCTCTTGAAAGAAGGCAAGGGGAAAGGGTGAGAGGGAATTTGTCTACTTTCAGGCAAGGAGCTGAAATGGCTGAGGCTTATGTCCTTGTTTCATTGTTCCATCAGCACCCACTTCTCCCTTGGCTTCTAGGAAATCCCCTGGTTTTCTCCTCTAACATTCGCCTTTTCTTCTCGGTCTTATGGCAGGTGGCCCTGCGTCTCAAGCCAAGGACTTCTCCCTGGAGGGTTCACCCAGCCCCGGGCTTGTGTATTCCTTATATGCTGAGGACTCCCCAGTTTTATCTCTGCCCCTGCCCTACCTTCTAGTCTCCCACATCTGTCTGCCTGAATCCCCCATTTAGGTGTTTAATGGGCCTGTCCATTCTAACACACCAAAGCCAAATTTTTTTTTCAGCCCCTGTCCTAGTTGCCTTTTTGTGTTGCTGTAACAGAATACCCCAGACTGAGTAATTTATAAAAAAAAGAAATTTATTTATCAAAAATCTGGTATTGCGGCGTAACAGGTCAAGCTGCCACCTGTGATGCCAGCACTCCATATGGGCACTACTTCCAGTCTTGGCTGCACTTCTAATTCAGCTCCCTGCTCTGGCCTGGGAAAAGCAGCAGAAGATGGCTCAAGTGCTTGGGCCCCTGCACCCACATGGGAGACCTGGGAGAAACTCCTGGCTTCGGCCTGGCCCAACCTTGGCCATGTGGTCATCTGGGGAGTGAACCAACCAGTGGATGGAAGATCTCTCTCTCTCTCTCTCTCCTCTCTGTCTTTGTAATTCTGACTTTAAAATAATAATAAAATCTTTTTTAAAAAAAATATGGAGACTGGAAAGTCCCATATCAGGAGACCAGTATCTGGTAAAGGCCTTGTTACTACATAATAACATGCTAGCAGATATAGCATGGGGAGAGGGAGAGGGAGAGAGGGAGGAAGGGAGGGAGAGAAAGAAGAGAAAAGGAGGGGAGGGGAAGGGAGGGGAGGGTCCAGAAAAGAAGGGGATCAAAGTCACTTTTACAGTAAACCCTCTCTTGCAATTACAAACCTCCTGCAATAATGACATCAACTCGTTCTTAATGGACTCACCACATCCTCAACACTATTGTATTGAGAGTTGACTTTCTAGTACATGTGCTCTGGGGGGCATGTTTAAACCATAGCAGCCTCCACAGATTTCTCCCCTCATGTTCTGTATTTGCATAACCACCATTCACACACTCAAGCCAAAAGCCCAGTGTCATCCTCCACCTCTCTTATTTTCTCCTTTTCCAAGGTAAGTCCTTCTAAGCGAATGCGCAAGCCGAGCCCCTGCCACCAAGTCCAACCCTATGTTCCTGGCCCAAGCCTCTACCATGCGAGTTCTTGGCAGGCCCATCCCTCTTCGCCACTGTCCTCATTCCAGTCCTGCTCTTCCATGGTCACGTCTTCACACTGCAGCCGGAGCCGGTCTTATAAATGTGAATGGCATATGTCCTTGCTATGTGGCTTTGAATTATTTTAAACACAGTTTACTATGTGAGCGACATGCATATGTTTTGTGAAAAGAAAACGAAATGTAATCCTCCTGCTCCTGGGAACATTAGGCCAACCATATATGTGAGTTAGTCGCCTCAACTATTGGACTCCAAAATACATACATGCCTAAGGTGTTGGCAGACACTTTGAGAGCTGAGTGTTTCAAGGCTGCTTTCTGCTAGCCTTGGAGCTGTTCTCTGAAACCTGTCCCACTAACCACGGGCACCAGCACGCCTCCCTAGAACGGTGGGATCTTGTTGATTGTTGTGGATCTCTGCTGTTTTGGTCAGGGATCTCTCTAGAGGATGCCTTGTAGGAGGGATCCCTCAAAACTTGGCATAGTCTTAATGGAGGTCTGCTTCTGTATTAATTGAGCAACTAGTCTTTAATAACTGGACTCAATGCCAAATTGAAACTCAGCAGCCTCCATCCTACGTGAACAACTAAACTTCAGTAATTGGACTCTAATTGGAGCTCACCTCCTGTGTGGTTAATAGGCCTTGTCTGCTAAATGCATTTCCTATGAGATTTGTTCTCATTCTTTCCCCCCTGTTTAAGCATTGAAATGAAAGACCCCCGCCCAACGCCCGACTCTTAGCATGGCAATAATCTATGTGATTCGTGAAATCAGACTTTAATCCTCTTTCTTTTAACCATACAAAGTGGTCCTCTTGGAAATTGGCGAATGGCTTCTAGAACCTTCTTTAGTCTCTATAACCAATTCTGTTTCCTCCATTGTTCATACTTCTCTAGCTACTGGCCTGCTTGCTGGTTCTTAAACACCAAGCATGTTCCTGCTACAGAGTCTGCACTTGGCTGTTCCCCACGCAGGAATTCTTTGCCTCCAGAGCACTCCGTTGCCCATTCCTTCTGCTGAGTAAGTCACAGCCGCCGTGTCGCTTCTTCAGAGAGGTCATCTCTGCCAGCATGGTGCCCGCTGTTCTTCATGTGCTTACCTGGCATTATTTCACGTTCACAGCATCTACAAGGTACTGCAAAGAGTTTGTGGAAATTGGAATTAGATGATTAGCTCATTTAGGAGCAAAATGGTTGGAAAATATGTATAGTTGTTTTTTTTTTTTTTCATAATATACATTTCTGTAAACTTTTTGAAGTGGGGCTAGCACTGTGGCACAGAGGGTTAACACCCTGGCCTGAAGTGCTGGCATCCCATATGGGCACTGGTTTGAGACCTGTCTGCTCTGCTTCCGATCCAGCTCTCTTCAGTGGCCTGGGAAAGCAGTAGAAGATGGCCCAAGTCCTTGAGCCCCTGCACCCACGTGGGAGACTCAGAAGAAGTTCCTGGCTCCTGGCTTTAGATTGGCGCAGCTCTGGCTGTTGTGGCCAATTAGGGAGTGAACCTTCAGATGGAAGACCTCTCTCTCTCTCTCTGCCTTTCCTCTCTCTGTGTAACTCTGACTTGCAAATAAATAAATTAATTAAAAAAAAAACTTTTTTGAAGTAACCTCATAGAGCCATATAACACTATGGCTATGCTGATTGGCTTATTTGCATTTTCTGTCTGTCTGCTCCAGGAATCTAGTGTTGTTCAACTTTATCTCCAGTGCCTGTTCAGTGGTGAGCCAGTGAATGAACAAGTGAGTTTGTAACAGAGAAAAAAAATATTTAGGGCATTATTAAATGTAATAAGCCTTTTGTGTCTTTATTAGGGAGGCTTATAGAGGGCTTTTGAAAATCATTCTTTATCCCAGAGAAAACTCCCAAGAAACAGGTGAATCCAGCGGCAAACAGCCTGCAGGTGTCTTCTGATAGAGGGCAGGATGTTTAGGTTATGTTTATGTTACTACCAGTTCCTTCTGTCTGGTAATGACCACTGCTGACTTCCAACCCCAGAATCCCTGTCCAGCAGGCAATGAGAATCCTGGACAGTAGAACGTCAAGACATTGCTTCATCTTCAACATGGCACTGAAGCTATAGCCCAATCTAAGCCCTAGAAATAGGGGAAAAGATGATGTTCTGGACCATGGGGACTGCTACTGATCTCGAATGTTAGGAACTGACTGGGTCCCTACCATCAAAGTGGATCTTGTGGATAGAGTCAGAATGCAATGGGGTTTCTTTTTTCTTTTTTAATATTTTATTTATTTGAGAGGTAAAGTCACAGACAGTAAGAGAGAGAGACAGAGAGAAAGGTCTTCCATCTGCTGGTTCACTCCCCAAACCGCCGGAGCTGCACCGATCTGAAGCCAGGAGCTTTTTCCAGATCTCCCACATGGGTGCAGGGCCCCAACCACTTAGGCCATCTTCTGCTGCTTTCCCAAGTCACAACAGAGAGCTGGATCAGAAGAGGAGCAGCCAGGACTCAAACTGGAGCCCATAGAAGATACTGGTGCTGCAGGCAGAAGACTGTTAACCTTCTATGGCACAGCACTGGCCCGTGATGGAGTTTCTGATCAAGCCACTCCTTGAACTGAGATTCAGTGAGAATAGCACATACTTAGAGTAAGGAATCAGGTATTCATGTGACCAAGAAAGAATAAGAGCAACAAGCAATGAGGTGGAATTGTTTCAAGAAAACCTTGAGAAGTCGGTGATCCACAGCCAGTCAGGCTCCACCAAAGGGGAGAAGAATACCCAAGTATGAGTGCACGAGTGCTGGAAGGGCAAGCTGCCAAAGCAGCAGTAGATGCTCTGTCTTAAAGGCTAGTTCACATTTCTCAAGACAGCATTATAAACAGAAGAAGAAAGTCCCAGAAGAAATGGTGGAACAGTTGCTTTTGCTGTTATTCTAGGAAAAGGAAAGCTTTTCTTAGCAAGCCACAAACCTCAGAATCCACAAAGGAAAACCATGTCAAATTAATTATATAAAAATATTGCAACAAAGCATCAGTAATGATGAATGACGCACAAATGACAAACTTGGAAAAATATTTGTCTAGCCTATGCCAACTACTAATTTCCTTAGGATATAATTAATCAATAGGTACTGATGACAAACCAATGGAAATCCAGACCAATGACAACAAAGACATTAAATTGCTTACAAACATCATTCTGAACAAGCAAACTCCACTCACTGCTATTTAAACAAAACATAATTTTTGTTTTCCTAAAAGCTTTCTCTCTTCAGCTACTCCCCCTCTCCCCCCACCCCCACCAGCATCCTTTAAAAATAAAGATTTATTTATTTATTTGAAAGGCAGAATGAGAAAGAGAGAGAGAGAGAGAGAGAGAGAGAGAGAGAGATTTCTTCCATCTACTGATTCACTACCCAAATGGCTGCAACAACCAGATGTGGGGCAGGTGGAAGCCAAGAACTGGGAACCCCATCTGAGTCTTCCATCATATGTGATAGGGGAGCAAGCACTTGGACCATATTCCACTGCCTTTCTGGGCCCATCAGCAGGAAGCCAAATTGGAAGTGGAGTAGCTGGAACTCACACCAGCACTCCACTATGGGATGCCAGTGTTGCCAACATTGAGGATGGTAGCTTAATGTGCCATATCACAACACTGTCCCCTCACCTGTATCCTTTAAAAGTCAGGTAGTTTAATGTATCAACCCAGTTTCATGAGTTTTCAGTCAGTCATTAAAAAATCTTGTCCCAGTTCTTACATTTTTGTCATGTTCATAAATGAATCCTCAATCTCCTATTCAATAAAACTTCAATGTCACGTTCAGTCCCCCTGTTCTCCTCCAGCACAGGCTAGAAGGGGGCTGTTCTGCCCCCAAACCCTCCTTCTCTGTGAATGACAGGGAGGCAGGGAGCAGCACTCTTGCCTAGGCCAACACTGGCCCCTTCTCTTGGTCATCACCATCTCTCTCTCTCTCTAACACTGATTGATTGTGGTTTCCACAGATGGGGATGGTGGCCAAGGCCAGCCCTCCAGGACAAGGAAGCTCCTATCAGGGGCTTGCTCTGCTGTCATGACCCCAGGAGCTCTGGCTGCAGCCTGACCTCTTTCTTACCCTGCATCCCCAGGTCAATCTCGGGGACAGTAGGGCCATTGCACCTGTCTTTCCTGATGACGCCTCCTGTCTCTGCACCCTCCTTTCCCCATTCCAAGTGGACTTTTCTTGCAGTGAGATGGGAGGTAAGAAATCCTACCTGCTGTGGTTGCTATCTTGTTCATGGCATGCATTTTGAAGCTTAGGTCTTCAAGGCAAGAAGTGAGTGTGTTAGTATGCGCTAGCAGGTTTGAGGCACAGGGTAAGAGGCGGTGATAGGGAGAAGGCTCCCTCCCATGCTCCTTCCAGTCACGACAGCTGGGTTACTACCTTCTCCAAAGGAAACACAGCCTTAAAGTGCAAGTGCTGTTTTAGTTGGCTGGCGAGTGGCCTTGAAAATAATACTGTGATTGTCACCTGCCTCCTTCCCTGTCTCTGTTAACCTTTTGTCCAATGGGAAACACACAGGAGTCCCCCAGCCTCACTTCCAGTTTGTGTTTACAGAGAAATCTGTGTGCACACTTGCGTCAAGCTCAGTGCACAAACAAGAGGATGTGAGAAAGCCTGCCCCTGCCTAGAAATGTGGTTTTATACAGAGTCCCCAGGAGACTAACCTGGGAGGAAATTCTACCTCAGGTGCACTTGGGCAATAGGGCACCTCCAGGTGTTCAGGCCTTGAGGCTGTCAGCCCTCTAGGACTGACCACAGTGCTGAGGGGGCTGGGTGAACTGTGGCCGTCAGTTTCATATCCTACAGAGTGCTGTCCATTGTCTGCAGGGGTGTGGCACCTTGGGCCTGGCCCCGCTCTTTACCTTCCTTTGACTCTGAGACCATGGAAATCTTTTTGGTACTGTGGCTTAGAATACCAGGGACTAAGACTGCTTCCCCTGGGACCTGGCCCTGAGCCCTTGTCCCTGGGGCTCCATCCCTTCCTCACTCAGTTCAGCCAGGGCCCTGCTCTACCCGCCCCATAGCCTTCTCTTCTCCTGGAGCCAGGGGCTATCTCTCCTCGCCTTATTCTTCTCAGTCTTTCTGAGAATGAGCCCCTACAGTTACCCTACCCTTGTCTCTCTGCAAGCTTCTGTGTAGGTCTGCATTCCACATTTGGGCAAAGCTGCCTCCGAGACAGTGGGGCAGCCAGGATGCCATGAGCTGGGATGGGGGTTGCAGAGGAGATAAGAAAAAACAGACAGATGGAGAGAATACGAGTTAGACACTTAATACAAGGGAGTATTTCGTACAAGTCTTGTCCCTGTGCCACGCTTCCTCAAGGCTAGAATTCCCATCACACCGGGAGTGTCTTCTCGCACTGGGATGTAAAGGTGAGTTTCCCAGAGCTAGGGCCTGCCGGCCTGACGTCACAGGTGGCTGTTCTGCATGTCAGTCTCAATATGAGTCAGGTTCCAGACTCATCCTGGTGGGGAGGAAGGGAGTCTTATTTCAAAGACACCTACTCCTGAGGTGGCTGAGTTCATCTGCGAATCCATGTCCTCCTGAGCTTTCTCTTTGGTTGGACGCACAGGTGTGCAATAGTCAAATAACTGGACGTGAGTAACTTGCCTAAGCACACAGTCAATGGGGTTTAAATGCTCCTTTTACATGATCCTTTCAGCTTGTAGCCTCGCTGCTATCCTTGATTCAGGATGGAACTTTTCTATGAGTAGGCAAGTTACAGCATTATCTATTTCTGCAATCTAAAGGGCTCAAAAATCTCACCCCAAAGAACCAGAACTCTTCTCTATCTACCTAACACTCCTATCAGAAATTCTACTAGTTCACTGTTTGTTTATTTCCAACTGGCAATGTCTCTGGGATAGTGAATGTATCTGTTTAAAAAGGCAAGTATCATCCTTGGGCAAGGGAATGCTTTTACGTGACATGATTTTATCTGGTTGCATCTAATTGGAAAGGAGCAACTAATGTCCTGACTCTGCTAATGTTCTGAGGAATGTGCAGAATAATGACTGGGAAACTGGGGTGTAAATGTTATACCCGCAGTCTTGTGCTTGCAGCTATCTAATGAGGCCCGATATCGCTTTTTAAAGGAGCCATAATTGCAGTCAAAGACAAAATCAACTATTGGGATTGCATCAAATTGAGAAGTTTCTGTACTGCAAAAGAAAGTCAGGAGAGTGAAGAGACAACCGACAGAATGGGAAAATATATTTGCAAACTATGCAACAGATAAAGGGTTAATAACCAGAATCTACAAAGAGATCAAGAAACTCCACAACAACAAAACAAACAACCCACTTAAGAGATGGGCCAAGGACCTCAATAGACATTTTTCAAAAGAGGAAATCCAAATGGCCAACAGGCACATGAAAAAATGTTCAAGGTCACTAGCAATCAGGGAAATGCAAATCAAAACCACAATGAGGTTTCACCTCACCCCGGTTAGAATGGCTCACATACAGAAATCTAACAACAACAGATGCTGGCGAGGACGTGGGGAAAAAGGGACACTAACCCACTGTTGGTGGGAATGCAAACTGGTCAAGCCACTATGGAAGTCAGTCTGGAGATTCCTCAGAAACCTGAATATAACCCTACCGTTCGACCCAGCCATCCCACTCCTTGGAATTTACCCAAAGGAAATGAAATTGGCAAACAAAAAAGCGGTCTGCACCCTAATGTTTATTGCAGCACAATTCACAATAGCCAAGACCTGGAACCAACCTAAATGCCCATCAACGGTAGACTGGATAAAGAAATTATGGGATATGTACTCTTTAGAATACTATACCGCAGTAAGAAACAACGAAATCCAGTCATTTGCAACAAAATGGAGGAATCTGGAACACATCATGCTGAGTGAAATAAGCCAGTCCCAAAGGGACAAATACCATATGTTCTCCCTGATTGGTGACAACTGACTGAACACCAAAAAGGAAACCTGTTAAAATGAAAAGGACACTATGCGAAATGGTGACTTGATCAGCATAGCCCTGAGTGTTAATGAACAACTTAATACATTATCCCTCTTAGTAGTTTTTTTTTGTTTGTTCTACTTAATGTGACTGGTTTAATTCTGTAATTAATACACAGTTATTCTTAAGTGTTGAAATTTAACTGAAATGTGATCCCTGTTAAACATAAGAGTGGGGATAAGAGAGGGAAGAGATGTACAATTTGCGACATGCTCAGGCTGACTTGCCCCAAATGGTAGAGTTAGAAACATACCAGGGGACTCCAATTTAATCCCATCAAGGTGGCATGTACCAATGCCATCTCACTAGTCCAAGTGATCAATTTCAGTTCACAATTGATCATAGTGAAAGGACTAAGAGTCAAAGGGATCACATAAACAAGACCAGTGTCTGCTAATACTAACTGATAGAATAAATAAAGGGGAGAGTGATCCAACATGGGAAGTGAGATACTCAGCAGACTCATAGAATGGCGGATGTCCTAAACAGCACTCTGGCCTCAGAATCAGCCCTAAAGGCATTCCGTTCTGGCTGAAAAGCCCATGAGAGTATTTCAGGCATGGAAAGCCAAGACACTCTGGGAAAAAAAACAAAAAAACAAAAACAACACCTAAATGAAAGATCTCTGTGAGTGAGATCCCAGTGGAAAGAACAGGTCTTCAAAGAAGGAGGTACCTTTCTCTGAAGGGAGGAGAGAACCTCCACTTTGACTATGACCTTGTCTAAGCAAGATAAGAGTTGGAGAACTCAAGGGGCTTCCATAGCCTTGGAAACTCATGACTAGTGCATAGGGAGATTACTGATGCCATAAACAGGAGTGTCAATTTGTAAAGTCAACAACAGGAGTCACTGTTCACTTACTCCTCATGTAGGATCTCTGTCCTTAATGTGCTGTACATTGAGGCTTAATGCTATAACGAGTACTCAAACAGTATATTTCACTTTGTGTTTCTATGGGGGTGCAAACTGTTGAAATCTTTACTTAATGTATACTAAACTGATCTTCTGTTAAAAAAAAGAAGAAGAAATTAGCAATTCCCAACTTGACTCTCGCTGGGATTAAACATAACAGTAGGTCTGATCTGATTTCATCATCATTTAAAAAATCATCTATTATTTTTCACTTTATGTTTCTGTGTGGGAGCAAACTGTTGAAATCTTTACTTAATGTATGCTAAACTGATCTTCTGTAGATAAAGAGAATTGAAAATGAATCCTCATGTGAATGGAAGGGGAGAGGGAATGGGAAAGGGGAGGGTTGCGGGTGGGAGGGACGTTATGGGGGGGAAGCCATTGTAATCCATAAGCCGTACTTTGGAAATTTATATTCATTAAATCAAAGTTAAAAAAAAATAAAGGAGCCATAATTAAACAACACAGAATCTTCCTTCATTGATGAAAATCCGTCCTTCCCCCATGTCTGCTCCTCAGCGAGGAGTCCCTCCCTGGTCTGCAGAGTCCTCCTGGCAGGGATTTGTCACTTCTGCCACTCTGAGACGCAGCTGCGGCAGGGCTCAGAAGTCACATCTTGACATCTTGTAGTAGGCGTCGTACTTGGCTGGGTGGTTTGGTTTTTAACCACTTTGCTTGATGTGTAGGCCCTTTGCTAACTCCCCTGAATAGTAGTAAAGCCAAAAACAGAGAGGGTTTAAGAACCCTTACTGGAGACTTGATGACAGCAGTGAAGAAGGGCATTCCAAGCACGAAAACTGAGCACTGTACCTGGGCTACGGTGACCCCTGCGGTGCAGGACCGCACGTCCTCCAGGGTTTCAACAGTAGCCTTATCCACCTCCGTGGCAAAGGCTGCCCACCTTGTCTCACCTGGGTCATACCTCACCACCAACAAAAGATCACCTCCAACAGTCCAGTTCTGTCCTTTTGAAGAGAACCTACCAAATTGTTAGATGCAGCAGTTCAGCATCTCACTTCTTAGATGAAACGGACAAATTCATAGAGAACTACAAAATTCCCAGTCTGGCTCAAGAAGAAACAGAATAGCTGAGTAGACCTGTGAAAAGCCAAAAAAAAAAATGCCATTAAGATTTTTTTTTAACAAAGAGAAGCTGAGGCTCAGATAGCTATACTGCTGATTTTTAGCAAATATTTAAGAAAGAAGCACTCTCAATACTAAAAAGCAAAGCAAAACAGAAAGAAACTCTCTTAGAAAGTAGAAGAGGGTAGGGTGAATGTTTAGCTTAGTGGTTAGGGTACCATATTGGAGTGCCAGCTCCAGCTCCTGACTCCAACCTCATGCAAATGTGGACCCTGGGGGCCAGCGGCAATGGGCTCCAATGATTAGGTTCCAGCCACTCATGTGCGAGACCTGGATGGCATGCCCCGCTCCCAACTGTGGTCCAGAGCAAGGGACCCCTGGGGCATTTGCTGAGGGAATTAGCAGACAGGAATCTCTCTCCCCCACCCCACCTCCATGTCCCACATCAGTTCCATTTGCCTAAAAGTTCTAGAAAAGACAAAGTGATAGAGACAGAGAGTGGATGGGGTTGGGGACTGACTGCAGATGACATGAGGGGATTTTGAGGGTGATGGATGAGTTCTAAGGCCCAATGGTGATGGCAGTACAAGCGTATGCATTTCATCGAGTGTGCAAGTTTTACTGTAAATAGTCTAGTGGCGTACAGTCTGAGGTACCGTGCTCATTAACCCTGAATGGAAGAGTCTATAGCTACATTCCACATTCTCTGCCCGCTACCCCACCTCCTCCATCTGAGTCACTCGCTGGGCCTCTCATCCTGCAAGGTCACGCTGACTTAGCAAGTCTTTCATTCACAGCTCTGGCCAGTGCCCGTCTAAGCCTAGGAGCGAGGCCTGTCCCAGGTCCCAACAGGTTGTTTCAGGCCTGTGTGTGCCTGCTTGGCCATTAGATAATATTGCAATCTAGCAGGTTTCAGTCTGTGATTTGTCTTCATAATCTTTTGCTCTCTTATAGTCAGGGTTTTGATTTCATGGTTGACTTAGTGACTCCGAAATGCCTCTACCTGATCCTACAGATAACCTCTACAAAGAGAGTGACGTCTGCAAGTTGGCCTAGGTGCATCACACAGAGGTCGCCTCTGAAGCCCAGCACTGGCCTGGAGAGCTGCCACGGTCCCTGCTTCAGGTCACTTCTGGCCCAGGAGGTTTGGGCACTGCCCCATTGAAGGATCCCTCCCTCTGCTTCTCCACCCTTCTCTCCTGGTGGAGACGCACTGGGGGAATGCTCACTCTCCCCACCTGTTCTCAGTTGTCCTTCCCCTTCTATGTTACAGGAATTTTCTCAACGTCTAACCCTCCTGGGTAATTGGGAGCTATGGAGGAATACCATGAGTGGTTTTGTCGTAGTGGACACTTGTCCTGTATCCTAGGTATCTCTAATGCATCAAGAAGAAATAGTTATTAAAATCTGACCAATATTATTAACCAGTCATCTTGGTGACGGGTAGCACAAATGAAAATAGACAAAGTGAAAACACTATTTAAAACAATTTTATTGTTCCAGGTCGTAAGGAATGAATACTAAAATAGTTATCAGGGACATTTTAGAGGTGGAAAATTTGAGAACTTAGTAGAAAGGGAGAAAAAATACTCCCAAGATATCGATAGCCACCATTAAAATTGGAAAGCACGGTTGCATGCTTGGTGACAGTGGCAGGTGGGAGTAGTAAGGGAGGAGGCTTACCGGTAAATTTGGTTTTAAGTGACCCTAGCTTGAGTAACCATGGGCACCTCAGGCAAAAGTAGCCAGAATGTGTTCAGGAGAGAAGTCAGTGACTTGAGAGTCAAGGAAAGAAAGTACCAGGAGAGAGGCTAAAGGGGAAAGAGGCCAGGGGGACAGCGCCGGCCCCTCATGCAACTTTTAAGCCCTTGGGCTGCATATCTTTCTTTGTCTTGACCTCACTTGGCATGAACTTTGGCCCTATTCAATCTTCTGCGTGAGATCATTAGTTCACCCTCAGATATTGTTGCCTCGGGCTGTGTCAGATAAACATGCCTTCAAGGTCGGACCAGAGCCATCTGGCCTCCTGTGGCTGCCTGGTGTGGGTGGCACTGCCACAGGGCCCACTTGTGAGCTGGAGCAGCTATGGACAGCATCCAGCACACCTCCTGTTTGTAGAAACTCACCCTGGGGAACCACAGGTAGGAAAATAACTCCTATTAAAAACAGTGCTTTGGCAAACAAAAACATGAAGAATGCAGCCAGCCAGAGATGGCATCAACACTGGGCAGTGCGTGTCTTTATAAAGGAAAGGTGATTTAGAAGTCATCTCCTCGGTAACGGAGAGGTCACAGGGAGCAACACCCCCTACCCTGCTGCCTCCTTCTAAGAGACGGCCCTCCCGCCGCTCTGCTACCTCGGTGGCCGTGAGTGGATGATGTCGCTTTGACTCCCTTGGCTGATCTGTCTGAGCAAACAACAGGTGTCTGACCCGAAGTGATCCAGTTTCCAGTGTGGGTATTCACTTCCTCTGGCTGCTGTAGCAACGGGGGAGGGCCGGGGGGACTTAAAACCAGGGAAAACTGTCTTCTCCAACAGCCCTGAGGCTGCGTCTGCAACCCAGGAGCTGGCGGCGCTGTGATCTGGGAAGATTTCTCGCTCTTCTGGCTGCCGATGCGTCCCTGCCGTCGCTGCCTCTGCCACCCCGCGGCCTGCTCCTTGGGTGTCTTTTGTTTCTGTGCCGAAGTGTGACCTCTTTGTCTGAGGATACCGGTCACGGTCTCAGGATCATCTAAGGATATCGGTCATGGTCATGTTGCATTTGGGGCCCACTCCCATCTAATATGACTCCACCGTCATCTAATGACATCTTATAGGTCACACCTATAAGGAGTAGGAGTCAGGATTTGGACACGTCTTTCTCTGAGACACAGTTCTGCCCCCAGCGCTGCGTCAACCTTTTCCTCTTGAGAATGTGAATGAAGAAACACGCTAGGAACTAACCAGCTGGCTGTGGGGTTGGAGGTACAGCGGTGTGATAACCCTGATAACCCAGAGTTGGTGCGATAACCCCGAGTCTGGGCCATGCCACTGAGAGTCCTGTGCAAGCCGGGGTTACTCGGGGGCATAAGAGAGGCAGCGTCAGGGAGGGTCAGGGAGGGTCAGGGAGACTGGAGCAGCCACGGGGTGGGGGTGGGGGGCAGGGACCCCAGCAGGGTGACGATGCTTCTGAAGCTGCTCTGCTCTCTCCTGACTTCCCACCTCCAGTCCCCCCACAAGCAGCTTTCGGAAAATGGCGCTAAAAGTTCAGTTTGTGTTGGTGCAAAGGAAAGAAAAGAAATCCACGTCCATGAAGGATCTTCACGGAAAACGCATGTTATTAAACTGCTAAGGATTACAAAAAGTTTTGCTCCAAAACAAACTATCTCTTCGTGCTATTTTCCACAAAATGTCGATGTCCCCTGCATGGCAAATCTCCCCTTCTTAACAGCTCTAACAACTGGTTCCTTATGATGACAGGAGCTAAAGTGAGAGAGTCCAAGCATAGTCTTTGTTTCAGCCAGGAAGGATCGAGGGCCTGGAGACACGCGGAGACCCCAGCAGGGCCCCTGTTCCTCCTTGTCTGGCTGCAGGCAGTGGGAGACGACATTCCCATCAGCACCTTGGAGGAAGAGGAATAATTCCCCGCAGGCTACCAGGAACGGGTCCGCGCCTGCCCGGAAGGCACCGAGGGGCACACACTGCCTTTCTCCAGGGACTCCTGGAGTGCAGGCCAAGTCCTGAGCACATAGGCGGGTTAGGGTGTGCTGGCTCCTGCTTGCCTGCTGGCCAGTGTACCAGGGAGGCTGGTGCAGGGCTGCAATGGCACAGGCCGACGTAGTCAGGAGCCGCCTGCCCCATCTCCCCCTCAGCCAGCATGGAACTACACACTTCTGGTTTCCTGCCACGGGTGGATGTGCAGCCGTTGGGGCCCCCAAAAGGTGGGGAGGGGCTCATTCTGGAATTATTTTATACCCCATTCCCACTTGCTTCTCCCTTCCTGCTACCCTGCAAAGAAAAGTTTTGTGTAAATAAATAATTTGTCATTCCTGAGCTAATACCATCGATGCTTATTAAGAATTTCCTTATAAAATTCTCCTTCACTGTGAACGCTTCAAGGACTGAGAAATTAATGCTATTTCTAATTGAAGAGGAGAAAATGCAGAGAAAATGCAGGCTTCTGGTTGTGCTGCTCAGCCTCGGAGCCCCAGCGAGGTTTGATGGGAGAACGCAGAAGAAGGCGGCCTTGTGCAGCGCCCTCGTCCGTCCCCTGTATGTGAGCGCCCTGCTGGAC